TGTGTGAGTGTGTGTGTAGTTCAATAATTCTTGGAAACAGGCAGTGGCTACACTGCTACCTGCATAAATAATTAGTGAWTTGAAGACATGTCATAGGCAAGGTTGTTGTAAATGCAATTCAGTTTGTGTCAAAAAGATGTTGGCTTCCTGAATTTACTCATATTGGCAGGTCATACGCTATATGGGTGGCATGTAAGTGACTCACAAAGCATATGTTTGTAACTGCATTCACTGTCATGAGATTTACATTTACTTTTTATATAAGCGGCTTAAAATCCACTTGTAAAATTCAAAAAGTCAACTTTTCTTAAAATATTCACATGAATTTTTAGAAACGTATATTTTCGAAATTTAAAATTAATTTTGAATTTTTTCACACAAAACTAGCTTTTTTTTGGAAAGCCACCATTTTGTAAAAAAAATATTTTTTTCTTTTTTTCTTCGTTACCTGTACAAATGTATTGCTTTGCTATATTTCATTGATTTTGTGATTTGTGATTATTAATACGGCAATTAAAAATTAAATATTTATTACTTGAGCTAATTTTTATGCAATTATTAGATATTTATGACCCTCTAATTATAATGCAGCACATCGTCTCACGAAAAGGTTGAATGCCAAATGCCTGTCTTTACATATTCTACGTTATAATATTCGAGTATTCTTATAAAAACCAGTAAAAGACGCGTGGAAACCCAATAAATCAACGAAAATATACAGCACGTTAGAATAAATATAAAATAAATTGAATATTTATAATAAAATTTTGAAAGTACAGTTTGCATAGCAGCTATGTATATGGTCCGATAACGATTTTTTTGTGGAGAACAGAACATGTGCAAAGCTTCAGTTCGATATATCATAAGTGAGGGATTAGTTTGTGCATATATGTACATACAGACGGACATGGCTATATCAACTCAGCTCGTTGTTGATTGGTCGTTGACAATCCTTGGCCGGATACAAATCCGGGTCCGTCTTGGTTACGTACACCCGCATGTCGTGGGAACGGATTACCCAGCTCGTTGTTGTTGTTGTTATAACGATTATCAGTCCCCGTTGGGATGGTGAGGGATATCAGTGTTGTCGTCGATGTCATCTAACGGGAGGCCCAGGAAACGTGCTGTTTCGACGGGGTCGGACCAAAGGGAAAGGGGTGWTAGATGGGTGGGGTTGGTTGGGCATGCAAAGAGGTGGCCAGTGTCATGCGGAGACTGGTTGCATGCAGAATTACTCAGCTCGTCATACTGATCGTTTATGTATATATTTTATAGAGTCTCGGACGTGCTTCCTTCTGTGTGTTACAAACTTTGTGGCAAGCTAAATATACACTGCTCAGAAAATTATAATTGATACCCGTAGTTAGAAAGATTTCTTTTTCACATGTTAGTAAATAATTGTAATTTATTGTTTGTTAAAACGAGAAAACTCAATTGTGATTTTTATTTAAAGTTATTTATTTTACTTAGAATTGTTCATATATAATCGTTTTGTTTACACTTTAATTTACCTTTTTGTTATTTTGTTATTACTAAGCATTACTATTCTTTTGAGAACTTTCCATGTTTTAAACACTATGCTATGAGTCCTTGTGTAAATTTAGGAAATGTTGATGACTAAATCAGTTAAAACAATTCAACGTGCGTGGCAACAGCATGTGTACACTTCTTACAAAATCGTGCACACACGCACAAACACACACATATGTGAAATTAGAAAAGACAACAATATAACGCATATCGCTGTTTGTATTTTACATGAGAAAGGTTTTCATGCGTTGTCTTTTTGTGTTTCCTTTTATAACTCGATTAAATACATACAATAAACAATGCTTAATAATTGTGTTTCACATTTCGATATCAAACGTGTAGTAATGCACTTCGTACAGTGTCTTGCGTTTATAGTTGGCTTATTTTCATTCGTTAAAATTATTTTATTAGCCACCAGTTTGCGCTTATTATAGTTATCAAAAAACAATATAGACGCGTACTCAACAAGGTAGGTTCTTAGCGAACTTTCATAAGAACAAATGTAGCCTACAAATTCGAATTAAAAATATACATACATATGTTAATATAAATGAAATTTCTAAATATAGCATTTAAATGTAAATAATATATGTAGTTATATGTAATATTTTGTAATCACACCGAGCGCTAGAAAACTATTCTTGTTTAGATTTGACTAAACTTAAGAATTGAGACATTGAAGTGGACAAATGAGTTTTAAACTAAAAGTTTTATATAGATACAATTCAGTGCATATTTAATAATTTTGCTGTGTTGCATTTTACAAATTTGTTTTACTGTTGAATTTGAAGTTTTTGCACTAAATGAGCTAAACGCACAAAAACCAATTTTCACCACACTTTTCTTTTATCAATTTCGAAATAAATTTAACTGGCTCGAGTAAAGCTTCCAAGAAGTAGCTCGTAATCACAAATGCACGATTGGAAATGTATTTTTAGCTAAATGATTTGTGGTTTTCTTTAGTCGTAATTTGAACATTTCATGTTTGTCAATTCACTTTAAACGAATATATTGTTTATCTATTTAGTGTATCATCATGCGTAATCACACCTGCATACATTTATCTCATTTGATTCATACCAAGTGTAGTTTGAGAATGTTTTTTTTTTTTGGTTTTGTTTAATTAAAATGCCTAATTGTTTTGCAGTTTCTACGGTTTTTATCATTTTCTTGTTGTTGTTCGTTTTAATTGTTAATTGTTATTTATTTGTATTTTCATTGTCTTATAATTCTGCTCACGATTCATAAATTTTGCTTTCTACAGCAACAGCATTGGTAAATTATAGGCGTAAATTTCTAACGGCTTTGGCTTTTTGAGTGTGCGATCAACCATTGCAGCGTTATGTCGATGTTGTCCTTTTCCTTACATGAAATGCTGTAACAACATATTTCTCTGTCTTGTATACTTGCTAGGTTCCTGAAAAATTAAACATCTCCTTGTAAATAGGTTTCCAATTTATAAATTACGCTTACATTTGCTCAATTAGGCCGGTTTCATCAAGTGCACCTGGAAGATCACGTTTATTGCCTAGTACCAACACAGGTATACCCGCTAGCTGCGGTTTGTCTAGCAATGAATGTAATTCATTTCTAGATGCCTCCATTTTTTCCAAGTCAGCTGCATCCACCATATATCTGAAGATTGTTACAGTTATCAGAATATTTTCACAAATCACAATTAATTGAGTATTTACACAATAGCATTTACACCGCGACAATATCGCTCCCACATCGATCTGAATCTTGGTTGCCCGCCGATATCCCAAACTTTAATAGTAACATTGCCTTTGGTGATTTTACGCATATTGAAACCAACCGTCGGTATCATATCCTCGGCAAATTGTCCAGACTACAAAGTAAATATAAGAAAAGTAAGTAAATATAACTAAAAGCAACAACAACAAAAGCTTCGATATGTGAATGTAGAATCATGCATTTATGAATTTATGGTATTAATATTTTCAGCATTGTAAGTAGGTTATTGAGATCAACAGTGCAATCAACATTAACATATATACAAACAGCTCTACATTTACACAATGGATTATATTTACTGCATTATGTTATCACTAACAAATATAATGTAGTATATGAGTCATTTGCAAACTTAAAAGTTTATTACCCCAATCGCTTGATAGAATTAAGAAGGGAATATTTGTAAGTACGCTTTGTACCATACAAGTTATTACATTACAAATCAAATCCTATATCAACAAAATGCATATATATGTACATATATGTGTTCAATGCAATGTTTCATTTGATTTCCTGCATTCAATTTAATATTTCTTAATTAATAGTTCTTTTCAGTTTTTTTTTTTTTTTTGCAAAGATATATGTATTAAATATAATTTAGCCGTACAAATAAAAGTGCGTGCTACAGAAGCAATTGTGTCTTAGTGCAGAAGGGGGCCGAAGTCATGTGCGATCAGATGACAGTTTATTGATTTCTATTAAAATCGTCTTTCATATATATATTTTCGTTAGCTTCGCATTGTCTGTTTTGCAGAAGCCAAAAGTAAGCTAATCTCCAGTCATAATTAGTACAAGTGTGAATTACAATAAAAACATATAAACAAATAACAAATCACAGAACAATAGCTCGAATGTTTGTAGTTTGATAGCTGCAAAGTATAACGATAGTTATGGGGGCAATGACGCAAAGCAACAGCAAATACTATAGTGAGCAATAGAGCCATATTTAATGAAAAAATTTCGGTGGGGAGTGGCGTTAGTTCCTGGTCATAAGGGATCTTTTTTCGCGCACGGAAAAGAAAAATGGGATTGCCTTAGGGTGTCACTATAAACGCACATTATTTGTGTGGACTTTAACGAATGCTTAAGCGTTTATAATTACGGGTGGGTGGTTTGGAAAATGATTTCGCACACGCACTATCGCAAAATACTCACTGCAATAACATTCACGAACGTTGTTTTGCCAGAATATTGTAATCCAACCAGCGTCAGTTCCATTTCTTCTTTCCAGAAAATGCTTTTAAACCAATCCAGTATTCTGTTTATTAACGCTAACATATTGATCACGGTCTTCGTATAAATTTTCACTATTAATTGCTTTGTCGCAGCCTTTTTTCACTATTACACTTTTTTCTTTACACCAAATGCGAAATGACAAACTTTTCCTTTCTTCTTCTACTGCGCTGTTGACTTGAGGAGAAGAAGAAGAATTTCCGTGTTTGACAACAATGACATTTACTAAAAAGTAATGCCAACTCTATAAAAACAGAGGGTGGAAACAACTGGGGGATCCACAAAAGAAACGTTTTATTTTGTTATTTGTTTTGTGGGTCTGCTCATGTTATATTAGCGTAACATACGAATATTCAAAAATAAATTATACATATCCAAATATTAACAAGCTTAATTAAGCAGCTATAGCTAAGTTTTAAGCTCATGAAGCGGAAACTAACTGAATTTTCATCCACATTTGTTCAAAACAGAATCTCCAAACATAAAATATATTTTAATATTTAATTATTAATAATAATTAAGATTACACCTATAACTACTTTTCAAGTAATAAGACGTAATTACAAATACAAATACTTTATTCACTGCCCACATATTTTTCCAGCAGTTCTTGTTTTCGTTTCTTCAATAATGCTTCCTCTATATCTTTTTGGGTTGGAACAGGAACATGTGCCGTGAATCGCGGTGCCAACATTTCCAAAGGATCATTACCAACTTCAGTATTTGATACTGTTTTACGTGCATCAGAATCATCGTCGTTGTCATCAGCAGCCGTCTTTATTGAACCGTATATTTCCTCTTCTTCTTCTTCATCAACATGACCATCACGTGCCATTTTTTCCTTCCATTCTTGTAGAGCTTTTTGTATCGCTATACGTTCAATGCGCTCTTCCATTGGAATTAAAGTTCCGTCGTCATCATCCCGATAACCATAATATTCCGCATCTATATCTTTCATCAACTCAGCACGTGTTTTACGTTGTGGTGCTGGTGGTTCTTGTTCAAAAAGTTCACGCACTCCTGGTAGATCTTTTGCAGCACCGAAATATTTATAACCGCGATTTCCTGGAACTTCGCGTCCTTCGGCGTCAAACATCTTTGGCCCATAACGGCGGTAATGCGGACCACCTAAAGCAGAAATTTGGTTTTCCCAATGTCGCTTTTCACGCAGTAACTTATTTATTTCATCATTTAAATCTCGTATCCGAAATTCGCCCAAACCAGCTAAAATTTGAAAAGGGAAAGTAAAAGTCAGTCCGGGATTTACATTGACTATTTTATACATTGATTTACCATTTTGTATTTGCGCTACCTTCTTAGATATTTCGCGAATGATTTCCAGACGATATTTTTCACACTTTGGTAAACTAGTGCATTCTGAAGCTAGGTAAGGTCGTCTATCTTTTTCTCCAGATTCGGCTTCCTTAGCTGCGCGCCAACGCGCCAATGTTGTCCTGAAAACGGAGCAGACATCCAATATATTTTTATATACATGCTAAAAGTGAAAATTACTTACATTGCTTTCTCAGCATTACGTGCCTGTAATGTAAAAGTAGTTGTCAATATTATACATACTTCAGAAATATATAATTTTCATATAATAATTACCATTTCAACGATTTATAAAAACACAGCCAATAGATTTCTAATCGTACAAAAATTTACTTTTCTTTTCGGTAAACATTATCTTCTTCTTAGATGCAGAATTTGCAGACGTTCACGATAGACTTAAGCATATGGTTCAGCTTCAAGAATGTGATTAAGTAGATTAGATCCAATGGCAATATTTTCCAATGTCTGGTTAGCAGCCGTCTGTCAGTTAAGTTCTGGTTAAAAAAAAAAATGTTTTTTACCGAAAGAAGTAGTCATAGTTAAGTTAGTTTGAACTTAACTGACAGATGGCTGATAACCAGGCTTGAAGGAAACTACCCTAAGTTCAATGAACTGGCAAATTTTTCTTATTGTAGTAGGAAAGAAGATATTTCTCTAATTATTTAATTTTTACTTATGTAATCTATCAAATGTTTTTACTCTGTTTAACTAACACAACTGTTTAACTTAAATTGAGACCGTATTCTTCTTACATAGGAGTAGAAACAAATTTTATATGTTTAAATTACAACAAATATAAAGTTTATTTAGAATTAATCTAGTTTTTATATATATACTCACATTTTAACAAGTTTTTTTCAATTGCTGTTTATTCAAGAATGCCTTTGGTAAATTTTCTTAATGCGAACATTTCATTACTTTTAGTACATTCTATAGTGAATACTGATTCCACATTCCCGCCTGTTTTAAAATCGATTGACAGCGTCTGCGAATATTTGTACTGAGGTTGCAAAAAACAGTGTAAATTCTTGTAGGACTACGTATATTTGAGAAACTTTTCGGAAAGTAAAATACAATTGAAAATAATTGAAGTTAACTTTTTGTTCATTTTAAATTAAAAAAAAAACATATAATAAAATATGACAGGCATAGCTCCTTTATCTACGGGCGTTATAGAGGTAAAAAATCCCTTACGGCATTGTGAAATATAATAATGCATTGATAATTTTATTCAACTTTTTTAGCGCATTATGCGAGGCGAGGAAGTAGATAAGCCTGTTTTGCAAATTTTGGGAACGAAGAAAATTACGGGCGGCGAAACCGATCGTTTGCGTCTACTTATTTCGGATGGAAAATTTATCAACAGTTATTCCATGTTAGCAACTCAACTCAATCATTTGCATGCAGAAGGTAAACTCTCGGAATACACTATAGTGCGAGTTGACAAATATATAACATCGGTGGTCAACGGCAAGGATGCCGGAAAGTATGTGTATCAACGTGTGTTTTAAATCTTATTTTAAAAATAATTTTCTTAGGCGTGTGCTCATAATACTTGAATTGAGTGTGTTGAATCCGGGGACTGAAGTCGGTAAAAAAATAGGTACACCAGTCTCGTATACCGAAGAAGCCGCGGCACAAAGTAAAGCGAGTACAAATAACAGTAGTACTGCTACGAAACCTGCAAAGAAAGCAGATACCAAGCCATCTCTTTACAACAACAATAATAACAATACTCTGAACCAATCATTGACCGCTGGTCTTACTCATCCTATCTCTAKCTTGAGTCCATACCAGAATAAATGGGTTATTAAGGCGCGTGTTACAGCAAAAGGTCCAATGCGCACCTGGAGTAATGCAAAGGGCGAAGGTAAACTCTTTAGCATGGATTTAATGGATGAATCTGGAGAGATACGTGCAACCGCGTTTCGCGAGCAAGCTGAAAAATATTATGATATAATTGAAGTTGACCACGTTTACTATATATCGAAATGCCAACTGAAGCCTGCGAATAAACAGTTTACCACATTGAAAAATGACTATGAAATGACACTAACTGGTGAAACACAAATCCAAGCATGCGAGGAAGACGACAATGATATACCAGAAATTAAATACGATTTGGTCCCTATATCCCAATTAGCGAACCTAGAGGCGCGTACAAGTGTTGGTAAGTTTTAATGTGTAAAACTATTGAAAAAAACACTCACAGTTTTGTTTTCTAGATACGATTGGTATTTGCAAAGAAGTTGGTGAACTACAAACATTTACCTCTCGCACTACCAATAAGGAATTCAAAAAACGTGAGCTGACACTGGTTGACTCCAGTAATGCTGCTGTAAGCTGAAATGAAAAAAAGTATAAAAAGTTATGTAAGTAAGTCATTTTTAGGTGAATTTAACATTATGGGGCGATGATGCGGTTAACTTCGATGGGCACGTGCAACCAGTAATTTTAGTTAAAGGTGCACGCGTGACCGAATTTAATGGAGGTAAAAGTATAAGTATGGGCAGTGGCTCGGTTATGAAAATAAACCCAGACATACCGGAAGGTCATAAGCTCCGTGGCTGGTTCGATAACGGCGGCGGTGAACACATTTCAAATATGATTTCCACCAGGTTTGTTATTGGTGAAAATGACCTTAATTTGTTTTTTTTTTTGTTTTTTTTTTTAACTTACATAATGTAACCTATAAAATTTAGAACTGGTGGTGCTGGCGGGGGTTATAGCACCGAGTGGTTAACATTTCACGAGGCACGCAGCCGAAATTTGGGCTCTGGTGACAAGCCAGATTATTTCCAATGCAAAGCTGTTGTACATATAGTTAAGTGTCAGAATGCATTCTACAAGGCTTGTCCGCAAGCGGATTGCAACAAAAAGGTTATCGACGAGAACAACGGACATTATCGTTGCGAGCGTTGTAATGCCGTGTTCCCCAACTTCAAATACAGGCTACTAATTAATGTAAGTCTATTTAATATTGCCATTGTTGCATATTTCATTGCTGTTTGTATGTATGTGTTATTTTTTTATTTTTGCCCCCTAACAGATGAGCATTGGCGATTGGACATCAAATCGTTGGGTTACTTGCTTCAGCGAAGTGGCTGAACAACTGTTGAATCGTTCGTCACAGGAAATCGGCGATTTACTCGAAAACAATCCACCAGAGGGTGAAGACGTGCTCTCCTCTATCAATTTCAATTCGTATATATTTAAATTGCGCAGCAAAGTAGAACAGTTTGGTGTAAGTACAGCGCGGCTATTAGTTTTTTTTTATTACTTATGTTTTTTTTTTGTTTTTTTAATGTGTTTCAGGATATGCAACGTAATAAGTTGACAGTTCAATCTGTCGCACCATTGGATTACAAGGAGTACAATAAATATTTGATAAACAACCTTAAAGAGTTAACTGGCATTAACAAAAACTAATTCAGCTTGGTATTGTTTACGTGAATATTATTTATGTTTATTTCTCTCTGTATATGTTAAATGTTAATACATACTTTTATTTTTTATTCTTAAAGCATTTTTCCAATATAAAAATTTAAATGGATTTGTTTGGAAAATAAATAGGTGATGGGTGGTTACAGTTACAATAACATTCTTTAATAAAGCGCTGTTGTTTCCAGAGTCTAACACAGTGTGGATCGGATAATAATAAGTACCATGATTGTTCGTATATCATATGACAGTAGGGTTTAATTAACCGCACGAACCTGAATTTTCAACCGGCTGAGGACTGTAAGTTCACCAGCAATCTGTCACATCACTTCAATAATGTTTTCTGTCAAACCTCTTCAATATTAAACAACAACTGAAGAAAAGTTTGAGTATATGACGATCTTAGTTCAGACTGACGATAGTCACAACGTCTTCGGTTTATTGAATAATTGTTCGAATTTTAACATATTGACTTACCACTTACGATTAACTCTAATCAACTAGTAAAATGGATTGTCCTATTTTAGTCGCGAAGACTTTAGGTTTTATACAAAAATCTGAGAAAGGTTGAATAGTTGTTTGTGATCCAGGTTTTCAACACAGAGAAGAACGATCGTTCAATGTGTTCGACAACTGGCGAATGAAGAGATATTGAGTTAACATTAGTGCGCGAAGTTCGACGCCTTTGCAGCCGCTTGAAAAGGAGAAGTATTCTCAAAACTACGAACACTAATTTTTATCAGACCAAGAACTATCAACTCGGCACTCATCAATATGATTTGTTTCATGTCACTACATCAACAGCAACAACATTTTTTAATTTTTTTGATGAATTTTTAATTTTGTGGAAACATTTTTTATTTTTATTTTTTTAATTTTATTGTATGTTTTTATTTTTATTATTTAATTTTTTGAAATTAAAATTAAAAAAAAGTTAATTAAAAGAAATTTAATGCCAAAAACGATTTTTTAATAACACATATACAGTTGCGAGCATTGAAATAGTAGTGGCTATTGACAAAAATAGTTTCGCTTTAAATTTTGTTTCTTTTATGGTATTGAAGTTGATTATTATTCTAGTTATATTCTCTGTAGTGTAACGGTCCTGTTATACACAACAATACGTGCGAAACACTTACCGTTACTTTTTTTTACAGCTTATATTGTGATATCGGTTTTTATGAGCGAGCATTAAAATAGTAGTGAACGGTGAGCTGATTCGACAAAGATTATTTTTACAAAAAAATATGTAGTTTTATCAATCAAAAAGTAAGTTTCTTGTTATATTATTTATTATCCAATGAAAAAAGCTAAAAAATATGACTCTGCATATTTTAGTGGGCCGCGGGAAGCACTGCAGTGAAGAGAAACGAAAATGGATTCAATCTCTCATAAACAGTGGTAAAACATACAAAGAAGTAGAAAGTCTGGCAGGGTGTTCAGCCACAATGATTCGCAACGCAATTATTTATTAAACAAAAGATGAAAAAAGGGGCGCAAGGCGGATTCTTTCTGAGAATTCTGTACATAAAGTTGTAAGATGTGTTAAGACTCGGCCTACAATGTCGGCTGTGGAGGTTCGGAACGAACTGAACTTGCCCTGCGGTGTTCATACAGGAAGACGACTTTTACGTGAACATAATTTATATACCCGCAGTCCTCGAAAAGTATCGCTACTAAAAAAATCATGTAGCTCGACGTCTGAAATTCGCCAAAGAACACTTACCTTGGCCGATTGAGAAGTGGCGCAACATATTGTTTACTGTCGAGTTGAAAGTGGTTTTATACGGCGGTAAAGGGTCCCGTCAGTATGTAAGACGCTCCCCTAATACCGAGTACGACCAGAGGTTTACCACAAAAACAAGCATGGTGGTTCGAGTATCATGGTTTGGGGTTGTTTTTCTTATAGAGGCGTAGGCCCAATTTACAAAATTACTGACATAATGGACCGATACGCATACGTGAATATATTGCAGAATATTATGTTGCCATTTGCTGAAGAGGACATGCCGCTGAAATGGATATTTCAGCAGGATAATGACCCGAAACATACCAGTAGGGTGCCAAAGGAGTGGTTTCGGGTCAATGGAATTGAGGTCATAGATTGGCCAGCTCAATCCCCTCACCTCGATCCCATTGAAAACCTTTGGGCAGACGTTATGAAAGCCGTATGGAATGACAAACCCAAAAACAACAATGAGTTGTGGACCGTAGTGCAGTAAACATGCCAGAACATACCACTAAAAAGATGCCAGAGTCTCGTAGATTCTATGAAGAGGCGTTGTATTGCTGTTATTAAAAATCATGGCCATGCTACCAAGTACTAATATCTCGTATAGACGGAACTTCCAAAAATCCTTCAGTTAAAAAAAAAAAGAATTTATTACTTTACTACTATTTTACTGCTCCCATCAAATTTCATATATAAGCACTCCTTTGTGAATAAATATACACCCATTCAAATAAAAATATTTTTATTAATAAACGTAGTCAGTGAAATATGATAAACTTTTCCATTTCAATTGATGTTAAAATTGTTTCGAATTTTGCATAACTCACTGGGGTACTGGGGTATAACGCTTTTTCAAACCGATTTTTTGGCGACGTTTTATTTAATTTTTTTTGGAAGAAAATTGTTTTTTTATTTTATTTTTTGGAAATGGAATTAAAAAATGTTTAATCCCAAAAAAATTCCCTTCTTAAATTTTTAATAATAAGATTACACTTTTTTTCAATCCTATTTTTGGGATTAAAAATTACTTTAATTAAAAAACTTATTTTTTAATTCTTTTTTTAGGATTAGAAATTTGTTAAAAATCAAAAATCGGATTAAAAATAAAACTAATTTTTTTATTAACTTTTATTTTTAATACAAAATTGATTAAGTGATTTAAATTTCTTTTCTTATTATTCATTCAGGAAATACAATTTTTTTCGCTTTCCTTTCAATCCCGTATTTGAAATTAAAATTTTAAAAAGTATATGTTATTAAGATTTTGGGATTACAAAAAGAAAAAAACATTAAATTTTAACTAAATTACTTTTTTAACGCATTAGTTGCAAGCCTGAGTTTAAGTGAGGGAGATTACGTGGCATTAATCCATTCCCACGACAGGTGAATCTGCGTAGCCATAACGGACCCGCTTTTGTGCCGCTACAACAACGAATTTTTTTTTGCAAAGACTTTAAGTCACCTTACTTTGCACTCTTTGAGCACACCACGCACAACAATACCCCCCACAACATGTAAACCAAATTTCTTCGTTCGATTATACTATATTTTAATTTGTGGTTATACATACAAAGATACTTTAAATAACCTAAATACACACAGTATTAAATAATAATACAGCTTTACACTTATTTAAAAATATATATATTTTTTCAAATCAATAAAAATCATTACAAACGCTCTCAAATAAATAACTTTTTGCAGTTATTTTTTATATCGAAGACTCATGACTAGTCGGTCGGCGTATACAGAAATATCAATCAAGAAATTATAAAAGTAAATAATATATAAATTACAACAAGTAAGATAACCGCTAAAGGGTATTGTAAACTTATTTGCATAAAAAATATGTAAATTTAGCTTAAGACATTTTTGGTAAATCCGTTTAAATTACAAATTGCCAAGTTTACGTTTTATTTATGGAAAATTGAAAGTTGTTGCATTTACAATAGTTGCGGAGCATAACTTACACATGAGCATATTAGTATATACAGATATACAATATGTAAATACAAATCGGCACTTAAAATGCAAAATAAAGTAACATCACTTTTCAATTTTTTTTTTAATAAAGTGGCGCTGGGGAAAAATGATATAATAGATTCCTATTGGAAAAAATTTGGTTTGGTTGGTTATATATACTGGTTATATATTGGTTACATCTGTGAACGGAAGCTTAAAATTTTCAGATATTACATACATATATAATGTAGCAATAAAAAACTCAATTTCGAATTTTTTTTTTGATACATGCGCGCTTTTGCATTTCAGGTGACGAAATGTACTTGCATGCATGTCTGTCTGTATGCACTTGGCATTTATATTATGTGCTCACAATCGCTTAATGATACACTCAAATCGCCATTTGACAATATTTCAGCGACATTTTTCAAATCTTTGTAATTATAGTATATAATATATGTATGTATATATGTATATTGACTTTATTGTTGGTTATATAAAATCTGTTGATTGGTGTTTTGATTACGTTTCAATTTGTTTTTTTAGCAAGTTTTTTGGTTTTTGATTTTACTTTTATTTATAGTTTTTGATTTTCTTTTGTTTTTGTGTTTTTACTTTCTGTTTTTATTTTTACTTTTTATGTTTAATTTTTGATTTTCTTTTTTTTCGCTTTTGATTAGTTGTTTTTGCTTAATTGTTAGAAAAACTTTGAATTCGTTACCGCAATGATTTGCTTTACTCACAACTTTGAATTTCAACATTTATGCACAAGTGTATGTATGTATGTATGTATGTGTTTTTTGTGATTTTCTGTTTATTTTTTCGTTTGTCACAATTCACATTGATATCATCAGGCTAGTTTTATAGTTGCATGTAACCATGTAGAACAATTGGAATTGGTATGTACATATGTACTCATGTATATACATATGTATTTAGTATTAAATTCAATTCGCTATTCGCAATTCTATGGCAGTTAGTATTTATTTCGCTTCGTTTAGTTACTCTTTACGTGTTTGTCTGTATTTATGTATTTATGTAATCTTGTGTTTTTTTTTACAAAATGCAATATCATAAGTAAAATATTTCGTTTATCCACTTTAATATTCGTTGAGGGTTTTTGTTTGTTGGGGATTTTAGTTTCTGAATATTTTCTTCAAAATACCTTTCAAATGACTTGCTTTGCGCTGCTTTTTTTTGTGTTTGCTTTATACATTTAAAATATTCTTATTTACCGTTAGTTCAGTTAGTAACTTATTGTTTTAGATTATTATTGAAGCTGAGTATATTTTTTCAAAATTTACAACGAAAATATTAATATTTTGAATAAATTTCTTATTTTGCCAGTGCGCAGTCTAATTATACCACTTACTTAGCAAATTTTATGGCGCTACAACAACTTCTGGCAGACTCAATTT